TTTTCAACTGTCAACTTTACGTATTTGTTTCATTATTGTGTTCTTGATTCGTTTAGCTTGATCATCAAGAAAATATAAAAAAGTGAATGGCGGAATTGACAAAATTTGGCGGAATCTGCAGACAAAAAAAAAGTGAACAAATGAGTGATTAAAGTCAGCGATCCTTCCCCATAATTTATTAGTTACTCATAATTTGTCTAGAAAATATGTCTAGAATATGTCTAGAATAGGATGGTTAAACAAAAAAAATTACATATGATATGATATAATGACAATATTATACATCCATGAATGTATAATTGGGGATATGCGTACTTTTGTTTTACGCGTTAATTCATCTAACATCCAATTAACTCCAATAATTCCAATAATTCCAATAATCCAATAATTCAATAATTATGTTTAATACAGTAATAATTGTGTTTTAATAATTGTGTTTAATAATTCTTTTTAATAATCCTGTTTAACAATTACGTACTATACGTACAGTATGTATATAGTATTTCATTTATTTAACATACCTAATAATTATCTGTTATGGTTAATAATTATATACGTAACTAATAATGTATTAAATTATGTATTTCATCGATTAATAATAATTAATAATAATTAATAAATATTTTTATTTAATGTTAAAAAATAATTTCCTTAATACGTAATTTCTAACGCTAAAGTAATATCTACAATAACAAGTACCGTACAGCGTGGTCCAAAAGACACCCCTTTCATAATACCCCTCACAATTTTCGGAGGCAAGGACGGATTAATTGCACTTGGGAATGTAAAATACCCGGGTACTAAAGATGGATTAATTGCACTTAGCGGTAGTATATAAAATATTACTGAAGCACCCCTACGCTGACCATAGTATCCCTCCGACTATAATGCCCATATATACAGCTTAAATTGTAAAGTACGCTGTACGGTAATTTTACCGAGATTTTAATCCGGTTTTTTTCTTGATGTATTTTAAAATGTATAATAATAGTAAGATGTATATAATGATAATATTAACAGTTTAATGTTAAAGTGTAAACAAATAATCATGTCGTCACACACGATATTCCTTTCATCCAGTACATTCCAGGATTTCAAGATTTCAGGATTTTAGGATTTCCATATTTTTACAGGTCCCGTCCTCCCTCTGCAAAGAAATACGTGTTGATCAATACTATCTACAGCTTAATTAAGGGAACCATCTTTTCAAGTTGCAATCATCCACGTATTAACGAAATAGATTACTTGCATCCATTGAGAAATCATGAATTTTTTCACTTGTAATATCAATTTATCCTTATTAAATTATTTATAACAAGTTTTTACTACGTAATCAAAAAAGAAACCAAATTTTTCGTTAAACATGGTTACGTTTTTTTTGTTTAAAAACTTTAAATATTCTAATAATTTTAATAATTCTAAATATTCATTCTAATAATTCTAAATATTCATTCTAATAATTCTAAATATTCTAATAATTCTAATAATTCTAATTATTCTAATTATTCTAATAATTCTAATTATTCTAATTATTCTAATAATTCTAATAATTCAAATTATTCTAATAATTCAAATTATTCTGATAATTCTAATTATTCCAATTATCCTAATTATTCTAATTATTCTAATAATTCTAATAATTCAAATTATTCTAATAATTCAAATTATTCTGATAATTCTAATTATTCCAATTATCCTAATTATTCTAATTATTCTAATTGTTAGAAATTATATACATATATATCTGTATATATATATTATAAACGATAACGATACGTATATTAATTATAATATACGATATACATATATATATTATATATATATATAATGATAATATATATGATGTATATATATCTATATATAACGAATGTATAATAATAATATATATGTATATATATATAGATGTATGGTTTGACATTATCCTTAAACGTCTTGAACATGGGTTATCTTGATTTAACAAGGAAATTTAATACAAATTGATCAATGAAACTACCCCACGAAACTTTAAAGTAAATCGTAACAGGTACCGTTCCAAAATAAATGCCAATAAATTTATTTCGATAATCAGGGACCTGCAACAGACCCTGCTTTGACCACTATTAAACTTCTTGCCACTTTTGGTCTGGGTACCTATGTGTCATAATGTCATTATATTAGTTGAGAATTATACCATATTTTACTGTATTTACTGTATTTACTATATTTACTGTACGTATTTAATTGTACAGTTTTATTATTTAATTGCAAATTAGACCTCATTACAAATATTTAGCTTGCGAATTATACCATAATCGATATGTTATCATTATATTGCGAACTACACCATAGTTGATGTGTATGTCAACTTAAACATGAGTACAAATGAGTACAAATAGTCTTTGATCACCTCTTCTCATTCTTTAATTTTTAATAAGGCAGGATCGATGCATGATGCACGGATATTCAAAGCACTCCTTAACCTTTCTTTAACTTTTTGTTGAACTTGTGGATCCGGCTATTATTTTTCCTTTAACAATTCTAAACAATTCTGAATAATTTTAACCAATTTTAACCAATTTTAACCAATTTTACCCAATTCTAACCAATTCTAAACTTTTATTAATATATTTTAAGTTAATTTGGTTAATATTATATTCTAATCATTCTTTACTAATCATTCTCCTCTTTGGTCTCTGGATTTACTTTTACTTTCACTTTAAGCTTTTTTTAAACTTGTAAATCCTTTTATCTTCATTCGAAACTTCTATGTACCACATATTTACTATGTACGTACCTATTTATCCTATTTATCATGTTGCATCCTTCATTGAATCTCTTGAATTTTCATTGGATTATTGATAGTTGGCGTCTGCACTTAAATTACCTGTTTTCATTGTAAGCATTAAATTATTTTAATTTTATCAAATCAACAAATAAAATGGTACATATTTCTACTTTCATGTTCGTCAATCATTTAACGAGCTACCCTTACACCAACTTTATTCAAAACTCGAGAACGTAATATATTTTGCATGCACTTAAATACTAATACTCTTAAAAAAGATACTTGTTAAAAATTCTTGTATTTACCATTGTAAACACATGAAACAAAAATAAATGCTCGTACATACATATTTATACGTACATACATACGCTTCTTTTTTTTTCTTTCTAACTTGGCTCAATTGTTTTTTAATTCCTTCCCACCTTTTGTACCTTTTGTACTGTACCTTTTGTTGTTTCATTTCTCTAAACCTGTCCACTTATTATAATTGTTACCTCTATTTGGTAACATGTATATGTCCGTCATAAAAGTGTGTAAAAAAAAAAAAACAAGATTACCTTTCGTCTGTATTTAATTACTATCCATCTAACTTTGATTAACTTTGATTAACTTTGATTAATTTTGATTAACTTTAAAATATTTCTAATATATTTAATAAAAATCGATTACATACCGATACATATTAATATAGTAACATACCGATTCATATTAATGCCGCTACTGTATCTGGTTACTGTATCTGGTATATACCGATACAAATGCTAATATATATGTATCGATACATATATACTATATATATACTATATATATACTATATATATACCATATATATATACCATATATATACTATACTGATGCATACATATCGATACACAAGTATACCAATAATACTGCTACCTACCGATACGTAAATATGAAATTCGGAATATCCTATAAATTTTCCTATCTGATAACGATAAAGTGTAATTCGACTTTCTAAAAATACATAGCTTTAGGTAATTCATACATTAAGCTTTACATTAAGTTTTTTTTTTTACATTAAAATTTTTTACGCACTAATTTTTTTGCATTAATGTTTTATATGTTTAATTTTTTAAATTATATTTATTTTTTTTTCATAAAATTAATTTTTATTTTTATTTATATTACTAATTATTATATTTAATCATAATTTATGATTAATGACTAAGTTAATTAATATACGCGTTTATTTTTTTATCCAATACTCACTTTTTAGCACTTTAGTATCTTTATTAGTAGTTTTAGTATCTTTATTAGTAGTTTTAGTATCTTTATTAGTAGTTTTAGTATCTTTAGTGCTTTGTTGTACTTGTAACCTTGTTGCAATTATTTTTCTATTGTCTTTTTTGCCGTATTTACAAATTATGTAATTATTGTCGTGTATCCTAACCTACTCTTATCATTAGTTTGTGTTCTGCCGAAATTCTAATCATTTATTATTGATCACAATGATTATTTCGTATTAAATGTAACGAGGTTGGTTGTAAATCATTACCTACATTATATTTCTCCGAAATATATACACATGTTAGTTTAGTCTGAATTTAATGGACTTTTACATGTACGTATATATATATATTTATTTATTTATATATATATATATATATATATATATATGTACTGTATGTACGTACGTACGTATTTGTAGCCTTTTATCAGGTGTTACATATAATTACATATGAATATGATCAAGGTAACAAGAATTATATGCAATAATCAGGTAACAGTAACATGAATGAATTTAAAACTCTCTATCATAGTCCCAAGTAAGGTAGTTAGTAAAGTAGTACAGTACGGTAGTACAAATTTGTACGTACGGACGTAAATTGGGCGAGATTTTGATA